ATCAGAGACGAAATTGGTGGGAGGGACCCAGCACTGGAAGAAGACAAGAAAACATGATGGACGAGTTTTCATTGAGGAAATTGGAAATGAAATTGGAATCGCCCACTAATCAGCATTTTCAATTCTCACTGAAAATCTTGACTTGGCCATGCTGTCGGGAGGGGTGGGGGGTCCTATTGGTTCCAAAAGAGTTGCATTGACGACATCTGATACAAAATGCTGAACTTTCTTTACCAACTTAGGCAAAGATAGAAGCAAATGTGGAAAATTAATTTAAGTGCTGTGTTAGTGAGGAGGAAACAAGTGTTTACCTACTCGATAGGGAAAAGTAAATTTAACCAAAAGAGCTCCATGACAAGGTATTATTTTGATCAATCAAGTGAAAAAAAGTGATCATGGCCACAATTTTTGGGACTTAAAAGGAGTGGTTTTGATAGACTTTCTTGAAGGACAGAAAACAGTCGCCTCTCATTAAAGGTGTTTTGAAAAAATGAAGACATTCCATGCCAGAAAACAAAGTGACAAAGTACCTTCATGTTCTTCCAGAGCTAAGAGGGTCTTGTTGTGCGTATTCCTGTCTTGAATACTTCCACATCCTCCGTATAGTCCGAACCTAACTCTCTCAGAGACTTTCGTTTCCAAACCAGTAAGAACACCTTAAATAAGCCAGATTTACGTCTATTACTGCAGTGATAAGCTCGTATTTTCATGGTTGCAGAGACAGTTTTAAAAATTCCCACATGTGGGAAATTACAGACGGAAGTATAGATAACAACATGTATGGACGAAAATGAACACAACGTAGAAAGATGAATGCAATTACTTGTTAAATAAACAATTTCTGGGGTGTGCGATAGACTTACCTCCACGTGGTGCAACCTGGCCAACGTATACTCATGAGGCAAAAAAGTCTATTAACCGGCATTTGACTTCTGACTTCAAACTACCACGACCCCTCTGGTTGTCATATTCGACCCCTACCACAGTACTCACCTTACCTTTTTCTCTACCTTTTTGTCCGTCTGCCTCTTTTGCAACTGTAAACCACTCTTCTGTTCCCCACCTCTCGACTTTCTGCTACTTTGATGAATCTTCCCTCTGTGAAGCCCGAAGTCAGCTAAATGGCTAATGTCTTCCCTCTGTGAAGCCTGAAGTCAGCTAAATGGCAAATGATAGCTATCAAAACGCCTACCATTTGAAATAAATAAATATATATATATATATTTTGAAATGCATTTGAAATAAATAAATAAACAATTTCTAGAATTTGTCAGAGAAATGTTTGCCTCGCCTTCAAACCAATGAAAAGTAGAATGGTTTACCACAGACTCTCTTGATTTTGAATCGATTTAATAATTTTTGAAATCAAATATAGAACGCTGTATAAGACGATTAATTCTTATCCAATTATACTTGAAATGTAAGAGTTAACAAGAAACAACCGTAAATTCTGTAAATAATCAGCTTATTGAATATTTTAAAGTAAGATGTAATAAAAGTAAATTAAAAAATAATAAAAATAAATAAATTGAAATGAAATCTTGTGTTTAAGTGAAGTATGAAATGAAATTTGAATTAAATGTTAACATTATTGTTTGTTTTACTCAACCGAAATGAAAAGTGGGACATACAAATTCTATCTGTTCACGTTGGGATGGCACGTACAAAGAAAACTGCTCGTAAATCAACTAGTGGTGGAAAGGCACCTAGAAAATTGTTAGCAACAAAGGCTGCACGAAAGATTTCGCGTTCTGTGGAGGGATTGAAAAGCTCCACCGTTGTAGACCTGGAACTGTGGCCCTTCGTGAAATTCGTAAATGCCAAAAATCCACTGAGTTGTTGATTCGGAAGGTGCCTTTCCAACGACTTGTTAAAGAAATTGCATAAAGCTACAGAACAGACCTTCGTTTCCGATCCGCAGCAATTCGAGTAATGCAAGAAGCTGCCGATGCCTATCTTGTGGGTCTCTTCGAGGACACAAACCTCTGTGCCATTCATGCAAAGCGAATAACAATAATGCCAAGAGACCTCCAACTTGCCAGACGTATTCGTGGAGAACGTGCATGAATGGCATTTGTTCAAATGGCAGTGTTCAATTACTTCTGTTTCAATATGCCACTTGGTGTCTATTTACTGTTTGTTTTTGTGGTAATTAGGTGATATGTTGGACTCTTCATCAATGTTCAAATAGAAATCCTGCTATAGAACATTACTCACAAATATTTAGCTATTAATGTTCATACGAATTATGTTAGAGTTATCTGATAACTAATCGCTTTGCCAAAAACCACAATTCGCTATCCTTATCTACTGAATAAACGTTTCTGTGATACGTCTCTTTCTTCTGGAGACTCAGTAATTAGGAGAATCTATCCAAGAGGTTCCTGAGACTTAAGTCAGGCTTAATAGCGTAGCAATCCGCTACAGATAGTTGTTGTTGATTCGGAAAGTGCCTTTCCAACGACTTGTTAAAGAAATTGCACAAAACTACAGAACAGACCTTCGTTTCCGATCCGCAGCAATTGGAGCAATGCAAGAAGCTGCCGATGCCTATCTTGTGGGTCTCTTCGAGGACACAAACCTCTGTGCCATTCATGCAAAGCGAATAACAATAATGCCAAGAGACCTCCAACTTGCCAGACGTATTCGTGGAGAACGTGCATAAATGGCTTTCTGTGCAGTATTCACATACTTCTATATCAATATGCCACTTGGCGTCTATTTGTTGTTTGTTTTTTTTTGTGGTAATTAGGTGATAGTTGTGACTGTCTGGATTTAGTGATTAAGAATTTGGTGGGATTTATTTCTTGCCAATCTGAAATATTTTCATGTTGTATGATGTTATACTGCGGTATTGAGTGGAATATATGATGTTTTAGTGGAAGAGATTGAGAAAAGTTCTCTTCACTATGCCTACATTTATTACCGGCATTTTTAGTTTATCGAAATGTTTACAAATCGGTAATACATGTTAGTAATAGGAACTGGGGTGCGCGATAGACTTACCTCCACGTGGTTGAAGAGGTGGATTTGCTCATATTTCACACACAATATTTCACTCCATCAATTTCTGTGCCCAACTTTCCACAATAGGAAATTCGTGTTATGTGGTCCATTATTCAACTCATTTGTGTATGTTGGCCATATAATTTGGAAGAGCAAATATAGGTGATGACTCTATGCGAACTTTAGACAATTTAGGTCATTCATTCACTTTAACCCAAAATATATAGGGTGTGCATTTATGTTAAGTAACATCAAAGAGAAAAACGTCGAGAGGGTGGTGACAGAAGTGTTTGAAAGACAAAGGTAGAAACGGTAAAAAATGGTGAGGTGAGTGCTGTGAAATTACTCGAATATGACATACAGTGGGGTGATGGTAGTTTGAAGTGAGAAGTCAACTGCCGGTTAATAGACTTTTTTGCCGTATGAGTATATGTTGCCCAGGGTGCACCACGTGGATGTAAGTCTATCGCACACCCCAGATTGCCAAACCTCTGTGCCATTCATGCAAAGCGAATAACAATAATGCCAAGAGACCTCCAACTTGCCAGACGTATTCGTGGAGAACGTGCATGAATGGCTTTCTGTACAGTGTTCAAATACTTCTGTTTCAATATGCCACTTGGTGTCTATTTATTGTTTGTTTTTTGTGGTAATTTGGTGATAGTTGTGACTGTCTGGATATAGTGATTAAGAATTCGGTGGGATTAGTTTCTTGCCAATTTGAAATATTTTATGTTGTATAGTGTTATAGTGAGGTGTTGAGTGGAATATATGATGTTTAGGTGGAAGAGATTGAGAAAAGTCCGATTCACACTGCCTACATTTATTACCGGCATTTCAAGTTTATCGAAATCCTCACAAATTTATAATACATGTTAGTAATGGGAAATATCTGCGTGTATCATATTAAAATCCATCAGTAGAAGAGGTGTGGGCCACAATTTTGGTGATTACTTAACTCACAATTTAGGTCATTCATTCACTATGACCCAAAATATATAGGTTGTGCATTTATGTCAACTGAATAAGCAGATTATTGAAATATCGAAACCCGCATGAAAAATTTGATTGGGGGAATAAGCATGGTAGATATTGAGAACTATTTGCAGGCATTTTGATGGTTATCATTAAGTAGTCGAATATGACGTACAGTGGGGTGGTGGTAGTTTAGGGCCAGAAGTCAACTGCCAGTTAATAGACTTACTGCCGTATGAGTATACATTGCCCAGGGTGCTCACGAGGATGTAAGTCTATCGCACACCCCAGATTGCCTTAGTTAATCTCTGTAGGGTTGCGTTCTCCCCAAAACCTTTCAAATAATTTATTAATTAAGAGAACTATCTAGGTTCCGCTATGTTTATTCATTTTATTATAAATAATATAAGTCCAAAAGTTACCACTTTTAAAATTGCTTCAATTATCTATATCATTTATTCATATGAATGACCTTGACCTTACTTCGAACTAAAAATTATTTATTCACTTTTATGCAAAAGATATAATCAAAAAAGTAATATTTCGAATTGCTTTTAAACTTTAAAAGCAAATTAATTTTTGTAGTACGTATATTTAGAGCTATGAAACATTTTACTTAACCCAATTGTGTTAGGGTGGTGGGTGTTGGGGGGTTATGAATATGTTTAACGCAATCAGTCATTTGTACTTAAGAGCCTTACAAAATCAAGCTCCATTTAACTCTAGAGCTTTTAGAGAATTCTCCTTTAATGGGGACACACCTAATGTGAATTAGAGTCCTGGAGAAAGTTGATTTGCCTAGGAAACAAGTTTTAATAAGACTTGAACAAAGTTTCGGTAGTATTTTGTGATAAAATTTAATCAATTTAAAGTAAGTGATATGTTTAATGGTTGTAAATTATAGTAATCAACTTTGAATAGATCTGACTTTGAGAATATGAAGGCGACACGTTTATTATTCGTTAAGTTCTGATATGTAATGAAATCGCAAAAGTTTTACCATTCAATGGCCGAAAATTCCCAAACAGGACCTGCTGTAAGTCATGCCAGTAGCTAGTGGATTGGCAAATGATATATATATGCATTATGCAGATAATTCTGTTTTATAGCCCTACATCAAATTTTGATATTAACGGGTAGTAACAACCATCGTCACCAATTACCTTTGAGTGAAAAGTGGCTAAGCACTAGTAGTTGTAAGTTTTCTTCCAGAAAGAGAGATCATCAGGAGTCGATTGATGAGGGTTTTCGGCCGTTGGTGTGTTATGGAAGTAGAGACGAGGGATAATCGACCCTATTGGTAAACAATAAGTGCGCGAGTGTGTATGAAGTGGTTCATTACCACATCAAAATTGGATTCTAAATGGAATAGAACAATTCGTGATTGATTTCAGCAAAATGTGGACTAACAAAACAGAACAGAAATTCGTCGATTGAGTAGACGATGAGGAAGCATGTTCAAAATGTGAATCTATATATCGACTGTCAATCGGATGTAACAGAAGTAGTTCAAATGGAGGCTGCTATCTACTTTTCTCAATTCCACCTTCAATAATTCAGTGCCGTGTCTACTCTGAACCCTTCTCATTTTACCCAGCAGCGGGACATAATGGATCCGCATTCGAAGAAGAAATGGAGACCATTATGATAGAATGGGCCAAATGTGCTACCTGGATGTAAAAATCATCCAAACGGTAATTCTTTCGTGCTCACAGCCAGCAATAAATTCAATTTGAAACAGTGAGCCACCAAAACAGTCGAGATATACGAATGTAAAAAAACCCTATCAGTTAGTGAAAGAAAAAACAAGAGTAATTCTATAATGGATCCTGGACACTGTGTCTTTAAAGGCAACGTGCGTGCTAACGCACTTGCAAGGAATATATTGAGTTGGTAACTAAGTCATTGCCGATTTCAAATAAGAAGGCAAATTCGGAATTTTTGTTTAAAAATATAACTTTATTCAATTAGATATTGGCCGTTCTTGTCGATGACCTTTTTCCATCCTTCTGGCAGAGTTAAAATTCCCCGTTCGTAAAATGTCTGGTCTTTGCTATTAAAAAAAAACTGAATTAGGTGTGATCCGACATCATCCGCGTTGTTAAAAATTTTACCATTTAAAGAGTTTTGCATGGAACGAAACAAATGGTAATCCGGAGGCGCAAGGTGAGGGCTATATGGTGGGTGTGACAAAACATCCCAACCCAGTTCCAATAATTTTTGCCGAGTAACCAAAGATGTGTGGGGCCTTGCGTTATCAAAGATGTGTGGAAAACAACACCCTTCCGCCGATTTGATAATGCCGGCCGCTTATCTTCAATTCCATCCTTCTTTCAGTTTTTCGAGTTCTTCAACATACACATTTGAATTTATCGTTTGGTTCTGCGGCATGAGTTCAAAATACAAAATTCCTTTGTGATCCCCCCACCAGACTGACAGCATAATCTTTTTTGGTGAATCTCTGCTGCTTTTCATACTGCTTGGGCTGGTTGATCTTGCTTCACCCATGATCTCTTGCGAGTAACATTNTTATAAACTATCCACTTTTCGTCGCCAGTAACTAGGTTTTTCCTCGGAAATGGATCATTCTCATTGCGTTTCAGTAGCGAATCACAGATGCTAATCCGTTGCGTCAAATGAATTTCCTCTTACTGGTGAGGGATCCATAGATCAAGTTTCTTGACATAACCAAGGGTTTTTAATTTTTTTTCAATGCGCATGTATGCGACACATTGAGCTTCTCTGCAATATCTCGTGTTGTGCTGTGACGATTTGAATCGATAATGGCCTTGATATGGGTTTCATCCACTTCGACTGGGCGGCCAGATCGTTGTGAATTTTTCAGTGAAAAATCACCGGAACGAAATCTTTCAAACCAATTTCGACACTGCCTTTCTTTTAAGGCGGCTTCATCTCCATATACGGCACATAACTTCTTTTGTGCTTGCGATGCGTTCTTGCCTTTTCGGAAGTAATACAATAAAATGTGTCGGAAGTGCACGTCCTGTTCTTTCATTTTTAAATTGGGATAAAAACAAAACTAAAGAACTAAACAAAAAAAATTTTTTACTAATTAACCTAGAAGCCCATACAGTAAGAAAAAAATATAGGTTAGATGCTCTGGCTACGTTAACAAAACAAAAGAAAGTATAGAGTGAATCTGTCAACAAAACGGCAATGACTTAGTTGCCAACCCAATATTTCAAAATAATCATTTAAAAGATAAAAAGTTAACAAAATTCACCAATCTCGGAAATGAAAGGTATTTGGAGTATCAAGTTCGATTTGAATAACATATGTTTATATATACGAGTGCTAGACTTACATGCAAGGCAATATTTTCAATATTTAATCACACATCCAACTTAAGGTATCGAAATTAAACTTTCGAAGAAAATTCATCTCCAAATAGGAATTCAGCTTTTTCATCGAAAATTATGCTTACAAATCGGTTTGTGCGATAGACTTAAATCCACGTGGTGCACCCTGGGTAACGTATACTCATACGGCAAAAGAGTCTATAAACCGCCAGTTGACTTCAAACTACCATGAGTAAGTCTATTAACTGGCAGTTGACTTCTGAGTTCAAACTATCATGACCCCAAGTCTATTAATCGGCAGTTGACTTCTGACTTCAATTACCATGAGTCTATAAACCGCCAGTTGACTTCTGACTTCAAACTA